ACAAGGAAAGTGTCGGAGCAGGTACGACGGCTGCTGACCTCACCGGCGCCATCTTAGTCAAAGTAGATAAGAATTGTTAGGTGATTTAAGGTGATTTAAGGTGGAATTGTTAGGATGATAGGGAAGGTTTTTAGATGTCCGCCTTGTGGAACCTTAATGAACCCAACATACGATATATTGAACCCATCCGTAGTCTGTCTCTGCTCCTCTTCCCGTCCACAGTCTGTTGAGGGTTTCTGCTGGATCAGGACTCGGTTCCAAGGACCCGTTGTGACAGGAGGTATTGATCCCACATTGAGCCGTATAAACTAACCTTCTTCACACACTTTGGGTTCAGTGTTTCAGTTTCAAGACAAATGTTTCCGGCCCAGTTGTCCTCAGCAGAACTTAGTCTGGCCTAACGAGAGTTTTGGTCCCTGCACAGTTGGACCTCCAGTTGGACCTCCAGACTTTGTATGACGACCCAGATCCTGTTCAGGACTCAACTGATATATGAACTATATAATATACTCACAGAAAGTTAGGGATGTTCAAATTTCAGGTGAAATTGATGGAAAATGTAAAAAGTTCTTGCTACAGTGACGGGCTGAAACCCCTGTTATATGTTCTTATTGATCCACATACTGGTGTTGACCAGAACCAATCAGACTGATTGATCTGTTGTGATGTTTCAGGTGTCAGCAGCCTGGAGCCCTAAACCTGCATCCACTCAGACCGCCATGTAAACCACAACCAGCTGTGAGCCAGTAACACGGTCCAGAACCAGCAAGTAACTGCTCCCGGTCTCAGAGGGTCAGGGTGGCTGCGGTGTCGCATTGGTGGAGGAGCAGGCTGATGGAGAGCGACTGTCGGATCCCTGTGGCCTGCTGTCGGCCTCGAGTCCTCGTCCTCCACGCTCTGTTCTGGGGCCTCGTCTCCCTCAGGTCAGTCTGAAGTTCTAGAAGTCCTTTAGAAGGTTCCAGTGTAAACTGCTGCTAACAGAGAGAACCAGGTTAGAACCAGAACCAGGTATGACTCAGTGTTTTGTTGTTTCAGGGTCTTCGGAGCGGCTCTGCTCAGCGACAGTGAGAGAACTTCAGGTACTGACACACAGCAGGAAGGCCTGCTGGGAAATTACTCATTAAAATGATATATTTTCCTCTGACCTCTGCCCTTCCTCTGACCTCTGCCCTTCTTCTGTAGCAGCGGTGAAAGCGGTCGCCGCCCCCTGCTGGCTGCTGGAGGACTTTGTGGTGACCACAGAGTGTGGTCAGTGTAACTCCTTCCAGACTGTAAGTTCACAACAACCAAACAGCTGCTGGTCGGGGGCAATGAAACAGAAACCGAGGACGTGTATGTGTTTACACTGATGTTTGTTGTTGTTGTTTGTTGTTGTCTCAGAGGTCGTGGTCGGCCTGTGGACCGACGGGATACGTGGAGCGAGTCAACTGCACAAGATCCAACAGAGACGAGTACAAGAGGTCAGACTGCCTATCAGTACTATTGATTAATGTTCATAGATCAATAATAATGTCCTTGTAGATAATCAATCATGTTTATCAATACGTCCCTGAGAAATAAACGGATAAATAAAGACGTAGCACCTGTACAGGTGTTAGTTAACTGCTAGTTAGCTTCCAGCTAACAGAGTGTCTTGTTTGTCTATAGTTAAGATCAATAATTAATCAGAATCAGCAGAAAATATTGTTTATTGATCGTCCCCAGCTGTCGGTCCGCTGTGATGGAGGAACATCTGTTCTGGAAGTTCGAGGCGGCCATGTTGGCTCTGACGGCTCTGTTCGCCGTCCTCGTGGTCGTCCGTCAACGCTGGCTGGACCGCCTCGCATCCGAGAAGGTCCGCCGCCAGATCGAGTCCATCTAGGACACCGCGGGGACCAGGACTGGACCTGGACCTGCAGCAGTATTTTAACAGACTCTGGAGAGTTACTGAGGTCCCTCAGGGACCAGGACTAAAGAATCCTGCAGAGAACTGTTTGTTTTCATCTTTAACTTTATTTAAAATGGATTCATGACAACGACCTGCTGATGTTAGATATGGACCTCGAACCGGAGTCTGGACCCGGGTCTGAAGACTGGGGATGGGGGGGGTCAACATTAGTATCAATAAAGTGATTGATTAGAGCTTGTCTGATTGGGATCATTCAGATACATCTAATGGGTTTACCTTCTGATCAATAACTATTCTACAGATCAATCGTCTCACTTCCTCCTACAAATCATAAACAATGTCTGCACCAATGTGATTTCTGATAAGCATTCAGGGACCCAAAGCTTTGTAGGAAGTGGACGGTAATCGTACTGACCCATTTCCGGTTTACTTGATTTACTCGTTACAGCGGTTATACGCTTAACATTTAAACGTAGACTAGTTCTACCTTGACACTCGTAGCTAACGTTACTTCTTTCTTTTAGCGACTTTTCAAAGTTTTCACACACGCTAGTTACATTAAGCACTAGCAGTTAGCGATGGCTTCTCCCTCTTCCTCTCCTCTGTCCTGCT